ACTACTACTACTACTACTACTGACGAACCTCTACGAGGTAGAGTCGGAGCACAGAGCGAGACATGCACGATGATACACACACACACACCACGCGACATGCATGAATGCATATGCATGCATTTGGCATTGCACTCATACATACCATGCTTGAGCTACCTCACATCTTCACGCACCAAACTGCGCATTCGGGCTATCCGGACTTGCCTCACCAAAACAAAAAAGTTCGATCGTAGTTACGATGGGGGGATGCAGCTCTGAGGTGAGGGCCGGACCAGGACACACCCATGCTACTCAATAAATAGACCCATGCACAGACCCCTGCGAGATCACTTCTGAAGCTTTTGCACCTAGCATGCATTCAGCAACTGCACCGAAATATGTTTTAGAATGGCTCGCGCGGTCTTATGTGCGATGACTACGCTTCTTGCAGCTTGCTTCATTCTTAGTGTACAACAGGCTTGTGAAGATCGCGATTCACCACAGCTTTCGTTTGCTGCTTTCACAAATTAGACCCAAGCGACAACTCCACAAGGCGGTCGAGCAAGAAGCACAGATGCTCAAGCTGCTGTGCTGCAACAACCACCATGACGCTGGCCAGCAGCGGCGGTAGATTGATGAGATATTCAGCCAGAGCCCATCTGCGCTTGTGCCGGAGTCGGTAGCACAACCTTGTGCCAACCAGTAGAGCCATGGGAGCAACCCCCAACCACCATGCCAGACCCCTGATCAGTTCTCGAGTGGCTTGGATTTTCGGATCCCAAGTGGTGAACCTGGACCACGCAGCAGCTTTGCTTATGAAGTGCCAAAAGACCGGGACCATCGCTGAAATGGCCTGACGGGATCAAAGCACCCCACAAACCTTAAGAGCACCAAAACCCAAAAAACCGTCACCCAAAACCCGAATATTCTAACCTCTGAAACCACCGAAATCCTCTTTAGCACCCATGATACAGGTCCCCTGGAAACCCCAGTCGCACGGCCTGACGGTATGTGAAGAACTGCTTCGCATGCTCTCGGAGCAGTAGCGTGCGAACCCCCGTCCGCACGTATTCCTCAAAGAGCTCTGGGGTTCCGAACCAAGCAGTGATACCTTTGGTGTATTCGGACTGTTGTGTATACGGGGTCTTTTTTAATTAAGGTCTTTATATAATAGGGTTCCAGACAAAGCTTATTATAATAAGGGCTTCACATGGCTTTTATACGGGGTTTGTAGGATGGGTGAAAAAAGGGCATTCGATGGTGGTCTGTTTCTTTATCCGCCAGTGACACTTACCATAGTAAGGAGATCATATTTGAAGAACTATGTCTATGTAGACTATTGTATTCGTACACACTCCGTGCACGTGTAAAAATATCCTTGTCGTTGATAGCTTCAGTTATGTGCTTTAACAAGAACCCAGATACATTTGTTCGCAACTCACCTGTCGCAAAGTCCACGGCTCCTTTGATGGTTATCCTCGCAGCAAAAACAGCTGACGTTGTCAAGCGAGAATCTTGCCAATTTGTCTCCATCTGCTTCCATGGAGCGGAAGCAGTCTCTGTATATCGCGATGTTGGCATAGAAACCTGCACAGAAAACCAAGGCATTCAGTGCTTGAAAAGTCCAGATGACACCTTCGTCGTCTCCAGTCAGTGGAAGGAAATCACTCACGATCGTCACGAACAACACCGTGAGTGCTTGAGAGAAGTAGCAAACGGACAGTTCCGTAGGCCGAATGAGGAGTCGTGGCTCCTCACCCGGTGACCGGCTTCTGGCAAAACCCGCAATCTCGAACATGCACCAGAGTCCTCGTTTACCGGTGAAGTCTTGAAGTCTTGATATTTGGGTAGTTCTCTAAAATGTGGTCCCTTTTTGGGTCTCCAATAAAGTACGGCACCCTTATATAAAAAGGACCCCAAGAGGGGGCCCTAATTTAGAGAACTGGCCGTTTGAATGCCAACCTGTGCATACGTAGACGAAGCAGTTAGACGGCATTTACAGTTGAGGAAAAGTCAACGACGGTCTGAGGCTTCAGAGCCTTCAAAAGTAACCCTCTACCTATATCCGAAACCACTACTCGGATGCATGCCAAATGCCCTGAGCCAAAACCCTGAATACAAACCCTACTTGGAGGATCATGGGACTTAGTAAGTAAGGTTATAAGTCCCCTTAATTGGGGCTATAAGTAAACATAAGTATAGTTACCTTAATTATAACCCTACTTACTAAGTCCCATGATCCTTCAAGTAAACCCGAAACCATAAAACCTAAACCCAAAACCCTAAATTATAACCCAGGCTCGATCGCAGTACGTACCGTCCCAAAGAACCAGCATGGTGTCGGAGTTCTTCAGAAAAGCACCTAGGTTCGTGGAGAGCCCCAATGGGCTTCTTGACTCTTAACCCTAAGGGTCCAAGTACTCAAATAGTGGGGTTTCAGGTGCCCAAAACCATTCATAAACCGGAATTTGGGACCTAAACCCCTACTATTTGGGTACTTGCACCCTCTAGGTAATGAAGGAACATACCTGAGTTAGAAAGGGCTTGAGAGTCTGTGGGATCTTTGCAGAAAAGTCCTAAACCCTAAACCCTAAACCCTAAACCGTCTTGCTATTTGCGGAAAAGCGCCGATGCTCAACAGCCCATCGGCTTTCCGTGGCTGGAACTCTTGATCTATGCATAGGACGTCAAGGAAGACATCGGCCGAGGAACGCCAGAACAAGAGCACTACGCAGTATGACACCAAACCCACCAGATTCGTCCAGATGCATTGAAAGTTTGAGTCATCTTGTTTTGGCTGAGTTAAAGCTGGCAAGATCTCAAAACTGAAAAGCACGGAGGCCAAAACGGCCCCGATGCTGGCAATTAGAAGTGCCGCGGTTCCTCAGCTGTGGAGATCATGGCGCAATGTGCTTTGACAATTTCCGGTTTGATGGGCTTGCCAAAGACCAACAAAGCCAAGAGCCTATAAACTCAACTAAGCCTTATCCTAAATCTTAAACCCTGCCATCTTTCGAAGGCTCCTAAGCCTATATCCTAAACCCAGCCATCTTACTAAGGCTCCATGGTAGAAGAGTACCGTAAACCCCAAATCCAACATTCCACGAAATCTCAACTCTATAGAGCTAACTAAAACAGAAAAGGCTCCATGGTAGAAACCCCTAAACCCTGAACCCTAAACTCTAAACCCTAAACCAAAAAAGGAACCATGGTAGAAACCCCTAAACCCTAAACTCTAAACCCTAAAACAGAAAAGGAACCATGGTAGAAACCCCTAAACCCTAAACTCTAAACCCTAAACCCTTAAAACAGAAAAGGAACCATGGTAGAGGTAGAAACCCCTAAACCCTAAACCCTAAACCCGAAAACAGAAAAGGAACCATGGTAGAAACCCCTAAACTCTAAACCCTAAACCCTAAACCAAAACAGAAAAGGAACCATGGTATAAACCCCTAAACCCTAAACTCTAAACCAAAACAGAAAAGGAGCCATGGTAGAAGAGTAGGAGGGTGACATACTTCTT